TACCGCATAAGCCTAGGATTCATATGCTGGCCGGTATCGTGCATCAGTTTTACCCATGCGATACCATATAAGCCTAGGATTCCTATGTTGGCCGGTATCGTGCATCAGTTTTCCCTATGCGATACCATATAAGTCTAGGATTCCTATGTTAGCCGGTGTCGCTCGTGTCGCACATCAGTTTTACCCATGCGATACCAGCTAAGCCTGGGATTTCCAGGCTTAGCCGAATATTCAATACTAAAGTTTTGCCCTATAAGGTCAGTTTTTAGTCATGATGTAGTTTATATTTTGTATCTAAAGGGTCGAAATAGGATATCTCTAAAAGTCAGATCTTGGGTAGATTTAAATATTTCTTTGTTCAATACATATGTATACTGGGTTAACTATGTACAATTGCAATCAGTTCATGATTTAATTAAGATAAACTTAATTTGAATGTAAACTGTACAGTAACTGACAGTAAAGTACTGTAAATTGTGTATATGTATATATTGTAAGTAAATAAAGTAAATAGTAAAGTGTACATATACATACATATGTATACTGTATACAAATTGAGAACAACATTCACTCATTGATTTGTTAAATTATCTGAACCGATGCATTCACTACTCACTGTATTACAGAGAGATGAAATTATAGAAAGCTGTATTACAGACAGATAAATTGATAGATAGATACATGATATAAGTAGACAGCTTATAGACCTAAATATACAGTAACAAACAAAAAAGAAAGAAAAAGACCAGTAGAAAGAAAAAAAGATAATAACGGATTAAAAAATATTTAAAAATCCTGTAATTTTTCATTTCAAAGTGTTTAGCTATACGGATGTATATGTGCGAGAGCCGGTGTATGTAAGTTAAGAAGTTTCTTTGTTTTCTGTGAAAATAATTGAGTTCTCATTGGCTGAATAGTTATAAAATGAAGGAGAGGATGAAGGTGGATTCCATTCGTTTTGTTAAATCCTTCTATAATCCTTCTCAAAGGTTTATAATAAGGCGAAGAAACGTATCTAAAACTGTTGCAATTATAGTGTTACCCTAGTTATACCCACAAAGGATAAGAATGTAATATGAGGATTTGAAGCTTGATTTTGGGGTTCTTCCTTCAATTTAGTATTTTTGTTATTTACTAAATAATTAAGCAAAGAACGAGGTTAGTTTTGGCCTATAAATGTAAGAAAAGGGACTTTAAAAAGATTCCTACAGTCGTCTCTTCAGTCTCATCCATTGTGGGTAACCCTGTAGTAAAAAAAAGCAAATAGAACTATTATTGTGAATTTACTTGACAGATTTTATTAAAGGGTTAGGAGAATTATAAGGGTAGAAGGGTTGGGGTGCAGGATTCGAGTTTTTAACGAAGATTGACATCAGAGAAGGATTTAGAATATAAGAGAAGAGGGAGATCGATATTTTAACCCCTAGTCTTTAAACGAGTAATTATGTTTCCAAAGTGGAATAGGAATTAGAAAATTAGAATTTGTGATAAAAACTCAATTCCTTTTAAGATGAGAATACAGTTCGCCGATTTCAACAGTTAAACCGATTTAAACTAGTTTCTAAAATTTCTTCTCTTGAAATATCTTCTAAACCAAAGAGTCCAACCTGTCAGCTTAAAAGGTTATGTTTTTCTAATCGAAGTGTTGGTTTTGTCGGTGTTTTGTGTCGGATAAAGCAGAGTTTAGGTTTGAAGATTTGAATTCTAATATATACACAAACTATATACTAGTTCTTTGTCTGGTTAAAATCTTGCAGAATTTGAATCCAATCCCGACCTGTCTACACACAACCCTGATACCATCTTACAAATAATATACAACCTCTTACTTAATCGTGCAGGGATCTAGATTTAATATCTCCTTGAAGAAATAGATTGTCTGTTTAGAATTTAACTACAGATCATTCATGAAAAATATTCATCTTTAGTCCGGTTAAATCAAATACGGCCATTAAACATGATTGCATGAAGTTTTTTTAGTAATCCAGAACCCGCGCCCGCTTAAAAAAAACTAATTTTCAGCAAACCCTTCTGTAAAGTTTCTCGGCTTTGATCTCTGAGATAAAACTGTAATTGAACCATTATACAAAACATTTTTCTCTCGCCCAAAAGAATTGAAAGGTTCTGGTGCTCTATAATTTGCTTTGATCTTTAGGAGGTGATGTGTGGGGTGAACCTAGTACATGGGGGAGGAGGGGGAGGAGGGCATTGGTGTTTGAAAGGGATGAGAGGAGACATCACTGTTAAGGGGGAGAGGAGGGACATAATTATTAAGGGGATGGGAATGGGACATCACTGTTTGAATGGGGAGAGGGGGACACAATTGATTGAAGGTGGATGGGAATGGGACATCACTCTTTGAATGGGGAGAGGGGGACATAATTGATTGAAGGGGATGGGAATGGGACATCATTGTCTGAAGGGGATGGTAGTAAGACATCATTGTCTGAAGGGGATGGGGGAGTGGTGCATCATTGTTTGAATTGAAGGGGATGGGAGGGGGAAATGAGTGTTTGAAGAGAAGAGAAGGAGGGCATTTATTTTGAAATTTTTTAATATTTAATAAGTTTATTTTAATCTTGATTCTCTTTCTTTAAACTATATTTTCTTTTCAAGTCTTTGAGTTTCTTTCATACTATATTGTATTTCAATTCTTTTGTAAGTACACATAAACTTTACAATTTTACATCGTGCATATTAAAATCTCAGTTTCCAGCTCACCATTACGTCATTCAATTTAAAGCTGTTCCATAAAAAAAACATAAAATTTATGCATTTCTGTTTTTCCCTTTCCTTTTTTGAAGTACTTATTGCAAAAAATATTGTTGCTTTGCATCGATGCAGGCCGCACGGATATTTTGATCTGACATCATTGTATGAATTATCATGTCACTAGCTCCATACTTGAGAAGAGTACTGCAATTGATGTATCTCAGCTTTTCATTTTCTTCCTGATTCTCTCTTCAGCCTTCAAGCTAAAACTCTCAAATATTGCTCAGATCAAACACCTCTCATTTTCTTTTTTTCTCATTTCTGCATCTTTATCTTTTTCTTTTCACATATGATTAATTTATTTGTATAAATTGCAACTTTTGTATCTATCTTTATCCTACATCTATTTCTGTTTATCTATTTTCTATCTATATATTTTCTATCTGTATCTTTTTCTTTCTACTCTGCATCTATTTTTATCTTTGTCTGTTTTTTTTCTGCATCTTTGTCTATTTCTGTCTATATATTTTCTATAATGATTTATTTCTGTCTATTTATTTTCTATCTGGATCTATTTCTGTCTATATATTTTCTATCAAAATCTATTTCTGTCTATATATCTTCTATCTGAATCTATTTCTGTCTATATATACGAGTTTGCGTATTTTACCCCATAGATCTCTTTTTTTTTACTCTAGAATTGCCGATTCAAAAACCGGTTTGAAAGGATTGGCATGGATAAAAAACTTTGGGGGAGGTCTGACATAAACAATCCTTTGTGTTCAATGAGCTGTTACTTGATGAATTTCTAAGCATCAAAACAAGACAAAAATGTCTTATCAAAGATAAAAACTTAATTTTTACCGCAACCATGCAATATAGAATCCAAAATTAGAAAACAAAATCAAAATATTTTTTTTACTCGAAACGTACTTAGGGGTTACAAAAAACACATAGTTTTCAGGCGTTGGGGGGGGGTGTCTCATAGGTTGGGTTACGTAGGGAAAGGTAGTTCACAAAATTTTTTCGTTAGTTGGGTTTTTCATTCTCTTCGCACGCAACTAGAAATACTTCATTGACTTCTTTCTGGCTGGTACTAGAGAGAAGGTTAAATTTTTCATTAAAATTCATCATGAGTCAAGCAAATTATTCAGTAGAAAATTTGCAAATAACCAGAGTTTGCATGTTTGTAAAATTAGCAAAACGTATCAAATTAGATATTCAAACCTTGTATCCTGCTCAAATAAAGGCAGCCTAGGCTTATGCAAGATTTGTGTTAAAAATATTCATTTCTCACTCATTCATGAACAGCCAGGATACTAATTAGTTATGACAAAACAATTTAAAATTTTAATTGCCGATTCAAAAACCGGTTTGAAAGGATTGGCATGGATAAAAAACTTTGATAAATCGGTTAAAGAATTGTTTAAGTTTAATGATGTTTGAATGACTGTGGGTTGGTGGTCTCCAACAGGGTAAAGATCAGTTTAAATCTTCTTCAACAAAAGATCCTTTATTGTCCCTGACATGAATAGAAAATTGTTTGGACAAAAATTATGCTTGTAAATCCCCTCGCCCCGCCCCCCTCCGCCCCGCCCTCCTTGATAAATTACTTTTACCCTGATAGTACACTTAACTGGCTCAAATTCACACTTTTTCTCTCGTTTTCTTAAGAATAGTGGTCTTGGCACAAACTTAAATTTGTAATCCGTATATCTTTGCAATCTGATGATGTAAACTTTTGACATTTCATTTAGCATATCAAAGGTCTACGACATCGGGTTGCAAAGATATAAGGATTATAAAATCTGATTTTGTGCCAGAACGCTGTTATCTTGAACAAGATTGTACATTCGTTTTAAGCGTTGATTTCTGAAAGAATGAAGGTTCGAGGGTACAAAGGTTGGATTTTTTATAAAGTATATTGTTTTCATGTGTCGAAGGAAGGTTAAAATATCATTTAACTTATAACATCTGTACTATTATACACTCCTTCCAGCTTTACCTCAATTATACATTTAGGTGAAAATATCAAACAGTTTTAGAGATGGAAATTTAAGAGAGTTTCGATATACAAACCCAAGTTTACGAAACTGTGTTTCTATTTAAGGTCTAAACAGAATTTTTTAGAAACATTATTAAAAAAATGAGATTATAAAACTTAATGTGTATATGCAATTTGAATGTGAGATTTGAAATGTCAAATTCGTGTTACTTTCATTGATCAGAATGGATTGACACCTTGTTACAAGATAAAACTAAAAACTCTAAACCCTGTTTGTTTTCAGGTGCTGGAGGGAAGGTGATTGTATGTGCTCACAGATACTCTGTCAGAGATGTAGATAAATTCACTTATAAACCAATAGATTCTAAACGAGCTATGCTAGGTATGTGTTATATCCTTCAGTCCGACCTAACAATGCCAAAAGATACAAGTATTGGTGCCAAAAACGTCCTGGTAGTGAGAGAGGCTCTACGTGGGAAAAAGCTTGAACTCATTAATGATTTTGACAACCACGCCAAGTTTGGAGTTTGTCAAGTTGGTACCTCGTCAGCTTGGGTCAAGTCTAGTCCCGGAGTAAACAGTGAAAGTTTAGATGAAGATTATGCTTTATTTGGTGCGCCTGGGTGTCTAACCTGGAGAGGTAACGTTCTTGGTCAGAGAACCGGAACCACCGGAAGTTATTCTACAGCGCTACATGAGGACAATTACCTGAAATTCACAAAACACGGACATCTGGGGCTTTCTGTCACCTCGGGCAAATATTTCGATGATGAATTAAACTATGTGTCCGGAGCACCACATGTTGAGACGGAGAAAAGTTCCGGTTCGGGAGAAATTTACTTCTTTGCTCCTAGCTCAATCTCGACCCAGCTGGTCGTTCAAGAGCAAAAAACATTATCCGGGGGTAGTTTCGGAGCCGGGTTCGGTTACAGCCTGGAGACCCTGGATGTGAACGGAGACGGGAAAGATGATATGTTGGTCGGAGCTCCGTTCACAGAGCATAAAACAGGGGGAGGATCAGTTTTCCTTTACATCAACAAGGAAAGTTCATTGAAAAGTGATTTTTTCATCGAAATCCGCGGAAGCGTTCACGAATCCCAATTTGGTCTTTCTCTGACGGCCCTAGGAGACATAAACAAAGACGGATTTGACGATTTTGCCGTTGGTTCTCCATACGAGGATTTGGGAGCTGTTTACATTTTTTTGGGATCATCAATAGGTATTTCCGGGTATAAGTTGAGCAGAGGAGTTGTTAATGCTGTTGATGTTGCTAGTCAGATAATCAAAGCTAGAGATTTCATGACATCAGGAAATATTCCCGTCCCGACCAACTTCTCAACCTTCGGCTCTAGTCTGTCAGGAGGAATGGATCTTGATAACAACAATTATCCTGGTAAGTTTTAAATAGCGCTCTAGGTATTTTGTTTCCCATAATCTTAGATTTCTCCGTACCTGTTTAGTTCTGGCTGTTTTAGCTGAGTTTCTATATTGACTGTGGTTTACTGCAGACCTTGAACACAGGTTTAAAAAATATCTGATTTCATTTGAGAAATATATATTTAGTTGTTTACATTGCGTGAAGGTACTTAGAACAACGGTTTTTATGTTTATGTTGACAATTACAATTATTTATTTATTCTAAGCTTATTCCACTTTGTCTAATATATGTATACATACATTCCTAAATACATACATTTACAAAACTATAGATCTTTAAAAACTAATTTTATTTAGAAAATACATCGCTGAAATAAAATTTTTAACTAACTTTTAACTACTGTACACTTCTGTAAACAAACATATTAAAGTTCCTCATGCATCTCCTTGGACAAAACTATAAATTAGAGAAATAAACATTGAAATAAACATTGAAATGTGAGAATTTAATTGTTTTACGCAACTTTAGCTTGTCACGCCAATCTAACACAAAAGTAAGAATTAAATTAATCATGCTATAAACCTTATGGCTTTAACCTCTTATATTACTTCTTGTAACTTTCGTACAATTTATTTTTTATTTTTTAAATACCTCTAAATTAAATTCAACTACATGGAAATCAGTGAGCTTTACATTCGGGTTTTTTCCAAGCCACATTTTTATCCAGGTTCGCGTATTTTACATCGAGTTTGCGTATTTTACCCCATAGATCTCTTTTTTTTACTCTAGATTCGCGTATTTTACATGGAGTTCGCGTATTTTACTCTGAGTTTGCGTATTATACTCCCAGTTTTCGTATTTTATATAGGGTCCGCGGTTTTTTACTTCGAATCAACGTAGTTTAAGTGATTGTTCTTTGTGTTAACAGTGTGAGCTCATGATAGATAATTGAATAAGTAACTATTTCTAGAAAATAGCGGGAAATGGGGAGCATGGAACACCTTCTTTAATTGACTATGCAATGCTTGAAATTCTTTGTTCGACTTAATCTTCTCGAAACATTTTTAAAGTAAAAACTTGTTTTTTCATAGAGACAAGATCTAGACAACTTAAATCCTGGTCCTAGCAATCGGTATTTTCAACGTAAACGGTTTTTTATCTCTTTTAGACACATGGTATGAAGATTCATTTTAGGGAGACTTAAGTGTAAACGTTTTTTTTTTTTTGGGGGGGGGGTTAGATTTGGGATAATTGGATTAGGTTTACATTTTGAGTCTAAAAACATTTAGTCTGATGTTTATCTGATATAGTCAAGTGTTCGCTTTAAGGCTCAGTTCATTTTAGCTCGTCCAAGCTTTTTTAAATTCCCCTGAGGGATTAAATCCAACCCTTTTCTGACATCTCAGATAAAATCTTGAGTCTCAAAGCAGTTTTAAATCTTTAAACTCTAGTGGGATGACTTCTCCCTTGTGTAGAGTGTAGCTCCTCTATCCTTGTAATAAAGCTGCTGAATAGAAGATTAATGAAACCTTTAAACAACATTTCTGCACTGATGGATTTTCCTTAGGTCACCGTTTATTTACATAATTTAACCATTTTACACTGGGAGGTTATTTATGCAAGCTTGGACCGTTCACATTTCAACCTTACCCCACCCCTCTTCCCCCCTTTCCCCTGATACCTCTCCGTTAGTCCCGATCTATCTTGAGCAGAAACAAAGCTCTGTGAATAATGAGTCTAGGATACACGGGTAGAATGTTTAGTTGAGTTTCACAAAAATAACGCAAATTATTCATTTTTAGATTTGTTGATTGGATCCTACAATTCTAACTCCGTATACCTCCTTCTATCCAGACCTATCATCAATATTACAACCAGGGTTGAGGATGCTCTGCTCCAGGCTGTTGATCCGGGACAGGCTGGCTGCTTCATGGACCCAGAGTCCCAGTACACCTGCTTCCACTTCAGTGCTTGCTTCGATGTTGAGTCCCAGGACGTGGGTTCAGGAATGATGATCAGGTTCAAAATAATCGCTGAACCTAACAAACCTGTATCCAGGGTTTGGATGCGGTTGAGTAGTGAAGATCAGGTTGAGAACAGAACGAACATTGTGGAACATGATCTTTTCATTCAGGAATAAATCTTATCCGCCCTTAAACACGTTAAAAATATAATTCATGTACAGTGTACATTAAACAGTAAATACAACACGTACATACATATTCAGTAAAACCAAGGGGTAAAATTTAGTTCATTAATGAATGGTTAATTTGAAAACAAAAAGAATAACGTTGCAAACCTTCCTTCGTTTTGCTTAGTACTTTTCGGCGGCCGGCGGTAGTTTTTCTTTTTCTATAATTTCCTTCTGAAAAATTTGAAGATGTAAATCCGCAGTGAACATGTTGTCATAAAATTCCACACCTAGGCCTGATTTTAAACATTTTAAGATTCTTTTCGTTAAAACTTGAAATATAAAAGGTATTCCCTGCGTTATTATATACGCATAGATATATATGGTACCCGAGGTTGATACGTAAATGTATCTTTATGTATAAAAGTAGCTAGTAATCTCTGCTTGTCTGTCTTTTTTTTGCGATGTTCGATCATAACTTATGAACCCCGGCCCTGGACCAACTTTGGTTGGGGCACTCGGTAGAACAACGGGAATGTTTATAGTTTGATTTAAAAATTGTAAGTTTAGTGGGTTTCCTTACATCTGGAAAACTTAGTTTTGGGAAAAAGATAAGTTTCCAATCTAGTATTGATAAGAAGTATGATAATCAGTCAGGAGCAACTCTATGAATAAAAAAAGATTGTTTGTGTAATTACTCTGGAGTTATCTACTTGTTTACCACCCAGTATTTGTTTTGATAGGATCACATTTAGACAGAGTTTACCATCAAGTATAAACTATTAGAGTAGAGTAATGAGCCGTCTGTTTAGATAAGTCTGGGATATTTAAGCTTGAGTGGTGAGGGGAACCCTCATTTTCATCTTAAGTGTTTGATGTTTATGCATTTAAGATTTTATTCGAATTAATATATTTACAGTATTGTACATTATACATTGTACATAATTGTGGTCAAAACAATTATTTATTGTGATTTTGGAATTGAGTCTTTGCTGCAAACTCTGATTTATTAATCTATATATCTTTGCAACCCAATGTCGTAGAACTTAGATATTTCAAACTATGAATTCTGTAAAATTCTATTACAACTATATTTTCAACTAAACCTTGCAAGCAAAGTTGTTTTCGAACAAGTTTTGATATTGGTAAAAAGTCCCTCTGTACAGTGAACAGTGTTTATTCGAACATTGGGAAACGTCGAAATTAAGATATTTTAGTGTAAGAAACATTCATAAATGTTCAAAAGGTTCTATGTTTTTATCATATTTTATATTTATACTATAAATTTTATATATATACAAACACATTTGTTTACTTTAACAGGTGTGATTTACATCAATATAATTAAAGTAATTAGGAGTGATAACAAGGTATATATCTGTAAAGTTTAATTGGTGGCTTGTCAAGATAAGATCTTAATCTATAGGAGGATGAGAGGGAGTACTGTACTACAATCCTGGGATATCTTTCAAACACACAGACAGATCTACAGACACCTGTCAAGTTTTCCCTCTCTTATACCCTAGTCCAGGAGGAACCTAGAGCTAGGTATGATCTAGGAGATCCTATAGTTAATATAGACAAGTATCCGATCTTGAATCAGCAGCAGGCGTTGAGAACTTTCTACGCCAAGTTCCAGAAGAACTGCGGAGCAGATGAACTCTGCCAAGCACAATTAATCGTGAAACCCACACTACTAGATAAACAGGGTGAATTAACCAGGAGTAAGGACGGGATGTATGAACTAGAACTAGGTGCAATCCCGGATAATCAATTCGTCCTGGACGTAAACGTTCAGAACCTTGGAGAGGCAGCCTATGAAGCCAAACTAGATTTAGTGTTTCCTGACTCCATATCGTATGTAGGACTAGGAAATGTATCTGATGCTAATAATATCCGTATAATTAACTCAACCTGTCTTACATTCAACCTGGGCAACCCGTTCAAGGGTCAGAGTGAGAAAGGAATAAACTCAATAAATCTTCAGTTACGGTTTACACCAAACAGTGTGATCAATGACACCTTGATACGTTTCGATTTCACTGTTAACACAACAAGTGAGCTTGTAGTAGACTCCAGTACCTTCCTTCACTGTCTGATTGTGAGAAGAGCTGAGCTTAAAATAACCGGACGAGGATTGCCTGGAACAGTGTTCTACGGTGGAACTGTTAGAGGAGAATCAGCTCTCAAGGATGTATCGGAGATTGGTCCTTTAGTTCAACATAGATATCTAGTCACTAACTACGGTCCTAGTGAGGTAGATGTTGTTACAATCAAGATAAAATGGCCGTTTCAAGTTGAGAATAATAAGCCTCAGGGGAAATGGCTTCTTTACTTGACGGAGCATCCTTTGTTAAGGAACGGACGGGGAGATTGCTCCTTGCCTCCCGGGTTCAAACCCAATCCTCTCAACCTAACCTCTAAGAGCGAGAGCTCGGGATATCGTGAATCTAGATCAGGTCGTGGGAATGCAAAAGAGTTTAAAAACAGCCAAATTGACATTTTTATAGATGAGAAATTCCAATCTGAATTAGACCTGTTATCAGAAACCAAAGTAAGGAGGAGAAGAGAGATAGAGCATATAGTTGCTCCGCTTCGTATTCGAGGATCAAACCCTGAGGATCCCGGAGAGCTTGTGGTTCGGCTTGATTGTGAGCTGGGTACAGCAAAGTGTATAACAGTGACTTGTCAGGTATATAACCTAGCTGCTAGAGACAGTATCACGCTAGAGATTAGATCAAGATTATGGAACTCTACTCTAGTCGAGGACTATTCAAACATTGATAAAGTGGAAATATTTTCTAAATCATCTGTGATCATAGACTCTGTTTATACTCAGGATCTATCCAACGATATTGAGTCGATACTAACCCTAGCTCTTCCTGACCGACAGCTGGAACCAGTTCAAAGTTTGGATTGGTGGATTTATGTCGTATCAGCAGCTGCTGGATTACTAGTTCTAGTCATTATAATCCTTATCCTCGGCAAACTTGGATTCTTTACGAGACAAAGACTTGTCGACGACGACACAGATTTCATGGTGTCGGCAAATTATGAAAAGGTCAAGTTAAACGGTGATATGTAGACATGAAGAAATCAAATAAATTTATTAGTAGAGGAAATGAGATCTGAGACGGATATATGAGGGGCAGGTGTAGGATCCGTAGAAACCCTGCTGAGGGGTAAACCTCACCGGTTTCTCTCCTTTACAAACCTATTCATTCAATTCATGCCCAGATATTTACCAGTAAACAAGATACAGGGGGGTGCTCCGTCATATTCTAATTCAAAATATTTTTACAGTTTTATAAAATTTTATCTTTGTTTTTAAAAGGGCTTTCAACGAGACAGCTGCTTTCCACCGTTAATAATTCATTTTATAATTCAATAGTAATTATTCATTATTTCTTTAACTCAAAATGATTAATAGGGGCTAAAATAAAACCGTCTTTCAAATATAAGATACATGTCGGATCAAATACAAAATTTAATGTGTGATTTTTTGTAAGAAATTTAGCTTTCATGTCTTTTTTTTTAATAATATGAAAATGCATCTTTTAAAGCTAGCCGTGAATTCAGGGTTTTTTGAATTCGACTTTGAACCAGTGTTCAACAAAGTTGAAGAATTTCCCCATTTGTCAGGTTTGGTTCAGCTCTCATCCATTAGTGTAATATTCATTAATCATTCATTATTCCTAGAACCTTAAAATTAGGCACAGGTTCATGTAGTGTGTAATTAGCCAGCAGGGCTGAGGTTGGAGAAGTTGGTAATAGTGGAGGTTAAGGGTTAAATATGAGGTTGAGGAATTGTATGATAAAGGATTAGAACTAAATGGCGTGTTCATTAGATATTATTTTCAAGAAAGTTTTTTTTATTTACAGTGGAGTTTGTTTTGAAAAAATGGAGGGTTAAATTGAAGCTTGGATTTTAAGGAATGGATGTTTTAATGTTCATGGTTGAGTTTGGATTATAAATATGGTGAATGTTCGATTGAACTAATGGAGGTTTGAATGTTTATAGTTGAGTTTGGATTATAAATATTGTGAATGTTCGATTGAACTAATGGAGGTTTGAATGTTTATAGTTGAGTTTGGATTATAAATATGGTGGATGTTCGATTGAACTAATGGAGGTTTGAATGTTTAAAGTTAAGTTTGGATTACAAATATGGTGAATGTTCGATTGAACTAATGGAGGTTTGAATGTTTATAGTTGAGTTTGGAAAGAATGGAGGTATAGGATGATTATGATAATGTTAGGTTATAAATTCAGAATGGAGAGATAAAGGGAGGGAAGTGTTTAAACCAAGAGGGATGTAGGATTAAGAAACTAGAGAAAATATTGATTACCATGGATATTCCATTAATGGTTGATGACAGTTCGTTGAAAAAGTTATGATAAAAAGATTTCAATGCTTCGACATTCATTCAGTAACAAGTCATGTATATTGTATATTGTATATTGTATGCATTCTCCATGATTGTAAAACCACTTAACAGTCGTGATTATACATATATAAGTAAATGTATGTATGTATTAAATTTTTAATAAATATGTCTATAATATATGTCTAGCTTTTAGTTCCATAATCTAGATTTTGTATATTTATTTAACCCTAAAAAGGCTGAGGGTCTGTGGTCTGAATCGAGGGAGGGGAGGGGGGCAATTTTTCAAGGCCAGCTTACTTTAATGGTTGGGGCGCTAGGGATGTTTTAAAAAAGAGTTATGGGGTATTTTAGATGTTTTTTAGACACCGAGCGTTCTATACCCTACCCTATGCCTTTAAAAATACTTTTTGTTCACAAATAATCCTTTAAATTAATATTTCGGAAATGTTCTGATGTTTTAAGGTGATAATGTAGAAAATAAGAAAAGCTAGAGCAAAAACCCCCCGCTCCTCAAACCTTTTCAGGGTTAAACGCGGGAAAGCTAAAGTTTGCAAGTTTACTGTAAAACAATCCCACGGTCCCAGAGCTAATTATACAAAAATAATATTTTCTCATTCATGTAAATACATATATTTATGTTGTCTACTGTTAATTTCAAAACAAAAACGAAAACAACTCAACATAATCGAAAGGAAAATCCGGTTTTGTATTAAAAAGGCTAATTATGTCAGAATTTTAAAACGGACTTATTTCGGATACTACATACTATAAAATATTCATTACATTTTAATGGATGGCATTTAATAAAGGGGATATCTAGAAAAAGTTAATTCCGATAAAAGCCAGGGCATATATACTAAAGATCTGGCAGCTGCCCAAGGAAGTTGCGTGCACTTGCCGCGTTGAATAACAAGAAGAGAAAGATTAGTAGATATTTTAGGGTTAGGGTTGGTTAACACCTTCTGGGTCAAGCACTGCGGCCAGGACAGACTAGGGGGCCGAGCGCCGCGGCTAGAACAGTCCCTCGCTCTGTCTTGTATTTCAACGCGGCATGCACACGTAACTTCTTTGGGCTTCTACCTATAGATCTATGGCATGTTTAACTACTGTAGGGGTTGTGTACATTTATGGCCAATTTCTTATTCATTTAACCATAGGTACAACTATAAGGTCGTATCTATCTATTTACATCTATAGACACTGCTCTGGTAAAATAACCATAGTGTGACTATGGTCCTACCTATGGTAGAGCGTCTAAGAAATTGGCCATAATGTGACGTATTTTGACTGCTCAAGAACTGGTTGAAGGTAAATAAACACCAATGTAAACAAGTCCGTCCTTCCACTCTGTATCCCGATTCCCGAGTCCATTAGCGCCTGATCCAATCAGGGTTTAGTCATGTGTTTGATGTCTATTCTGAACAAATAGAAATATTTGGTGATAACATCTATCTTTCTATCTAGCTCATTATCCGATGTTATGAAACCTTCAATAGGCGCTATCACTAAATGGAAATATTTACTTCTACTGAAACTTTGGTGAGCTTTTGATCCTGCTCAGAAAAGGTCAGCTTATTAATTATAGTTTTAATAAAACTAGTTCTATTAGTCCTAATTAGTGAAAGGAAATAAGGTTTATGAACTTTTAAAAAGCACCACACAAATACTGTGAACTTCGAAGGTGTCAACACTTCAAAACTGTATTCTGTAAAAGTTTGCTTTTAACAAACTTTGCAATATTTGTGTGTATCCTAAGACCAAATGAATTGGGTTTTTGCCACAAACTCTGCTTTTCTAATCCCTACATCTTTGCAACCCAAAATCGGAGACCTTTGATATTTCAAAATATAAATTTTGTTGGATCAAATAGTCTAAACTTGAAATATCAAATTAAGCGTTACACTATCTGGTTGCCAAGATAAAGGGATAAGAAAATTTGAGTTTGTCGCAAAAATTCCTTTACGAGGAATTTAGTTCATATTTTTGCATATATTTTCTACCAGGGTGAAAATTGTTTTTTTTTAAGGAAAGGAAATGTTTAGAAAATTTTTTTAAATTTTTTAAATTTTTAAAAGTTCTCAGACTTTTTTAGAACATTTTAAAAGACCAAAAACCTTTAAAGTAAAAAAAAACCCAGTTATTCTGTTTTGCAATGCAGAAGGTAAAATTTCAACATTACTTACAGTGCATTTTTTCAGCACAAGAGAACACAGCAATAAATGTTATTTTCGAATCCCTCTTGTAAATCTAGTATTTTAGTATTTTGCAACAATATATGACAATGCAACATATTAAGGTTGTAATAGGCAGATGTTTGTAGATCTAAAAGTGCATATGCATGTGATGCGCACACTAATAAAAATAGTTTTAAAGTGTTTAAGTAGATGTCAGGCTCACGGCTATAATAGCAATATATATCAATAAATCTAGGTAGAGGGGAGTAAATTGCTTTAATATACCCTTACCAAAGCTGGAGATGAAGGGGGGGGGGTGATAACGTTCGGCTCCGTCCTTTCGTTGTTCTTCTAGACTCCTCCCCTTCCTGAGAAAAAAAGGTCTACCTTACGTTCCAGGTTAGGTTTAGCCGGGATAGAAAGGAAATGAGACTTTGTCACAAACTATGATTTTCTTATTCCTATATCTTTGTAGTACAATGCCGTAGACCTTAGATATTTCAAAATATGAATTCTGTTAGATGAAAAAATCTAAGTTTGAAATATCAAAGGTTTACACCATCAGAAAATCAGAGTTTGTTACAAAGACTCAATTCCTTTAGTCCCCGGTTGGTTGATAATTTATGATAAATTACTTAATATTTTATATATTCTCTTGGAGAATTAAATTTTCAGAAAGTGGATATCTGTGACCTGAAAACTAAAGGAATGTAATAATCCTAGCCTAGAGCACAAGATATATTCTAGACCCAGATACTGCAATCAAACTGCACCACAGGAGAATACAGTTATCCTTCTCCATCAGCTTTTTTAGTGGTTTCCATGTAGATATAGAACTAGGGTTGTTTGCATTCTACTATGACGTGTTAGGTCAGCTATAGTATAAATCATATTGTAAACAATCAATACATTGTCCGCATATGTATAAATATATGTATATATATATACGAGCTTGAGGACCGGCCCAGCGTTGCTCAGAGTATCTATAGTTACTTCCATCGTTTACCCGAGCTTGGTCATGAATTACGAGTTAAGATATTTTTCCCTAAATAATGGATTCACTCAACTTAGAATCTCAAAACTAAGCTAAAAACATTCCCATGGCTCTATCGAGTTCCCCAATAAAAATTTGAGGCAAATCGGTACAAGGATTCCTGAGTTATGATCGGACAAACAAACAGACAAACAGAGATTTCAACTTTATATATATATATAGATATAAAGAATTATTTTCAAAAATCAGCCATTTTGCTCTGCTTGTAGCCTTGTTTACAATCTTTGTTATTGTTTACATAGATCATAAGCTGCCCATGACCGTCACAACTAAAAGTAAACAAAACACTACCCCCCCCCTATCCTTAGTTCTGTTAATATTAGTGGTTTCAAACATATCCTGATTCTGCTAGCTCTCCTAAACTGATTAATAAGAGTTTTCTAGTTTGCAAGTTAGATAATTAGTATTATGATATCATCACAACAGTTTCCCAAGAATTAATTAAAGAGTATTGAAACCTGATATTCTCCTAGGTCTTCATATAATCTTGTTTTGATAATTATTCAACAGTTTTTTTATTCTATTTCTAGGCTCTATCATTTCTCGTTTAAAAGTCATTTAAGTATGTTCGCTGACCAACCCAACATTATTAACCCTTTTCATAAAAATCCTATGGGAGGGGGAAGAGACCACTTGCCCCCCCCCCTTAAAAAAACTGCTGTGTGAGCGCGCAATAAATTCTTATATGTAATACTAGCTTAAAAACCCGGCGTTGCCTAGAGTTTTTCATATATAAGTCAACTCACTCAACTTAGAACTTGTATAACAAATTGATAACATTCAAGTGCTCC